GACAAATCAAAAGAAATGTAATTGGAGTTGAAAGAGTTCCCCTCAGCTCAACATGTGATGTAGACGAAGTGTACATGGTTGATGAACTTGGCTACAACCTTCTCAGTATCAGTCAACTATGCGACAATGACTATGAGGTTCATTTTAAAAAGCATGGTTGGTTATTAAAGGTGAATTAGGTAAAGTTATTCTTTCTGGAAATAGAGACAGGAATGTTACCATCAGTAACATAGATAATCTTGGTAAATAAATTTGTCTAGCCTCTACGATTGATGATCTCTGGGTATGGCATAGAAAACTTGGTCATGCCAGTATGCATACTATTCATAAACTTTCCAAAATGATCTTGTCATTGGTCTTCCAAAACTATATTTTTCAAAAGATCAAATATGTGATGCATGTCAACTAGGAAAACAAACCGGGTCCTCTTTTAAAGTTAAAAATATTGTTTCTACTACAAAACCTCTTCAACTCGTGTATATGGTCCCTTTTTGGTCCAACTAGAACTGCTAGCATAGGTGGTAGAAATATGCCTTTGTTATAGTAGATGATTTTTCTCGGCTTACCTGGGTTATCTTTCTAAGTCATAAAGATGAGGCATTAAGTAACTTTGAAGTCTTCTGCAAGAAGGTGTAGCGGCAAAAAGGCTACCACATATCTTCCATAAGAAGTGATCATGGAGGAGAATTTGAAAGCGAAGTATTTGAGAACTTCTGCAATGATCAAGGGATCTCTCACAATTTTTCATCTCCAAGATAACCGCAACAAAATAGAGTGGTAGAACGCAAAAATAGAACCTTGCAAGATATGAAAAGAACTATGATTGTGGAAAATTCACTTCCACACCATTTCTGGGCAGAAGCTGTAAGCACAACATATCATATTATCAACAGATGCTTAATTCGACCTATTCTCAAGAAGACTCCATATGAACTATGGAGAGGAAAAAGACCCAACATCAGTTATTTTCATCCTTTTGGATGCAAATGCTTCATTCACAACAATGAAAAAGACAATCTTGGTAAGTTTGATCCCAAAAGAGATTGAGGTATTTTTCTCGAATACTCTCCCTCTAGTAGAGCATATAGAGTTTTTAATAAGCGTACTCTTTCTATTGAAGAATCTATACATGTTATTTTTGTGGACGCTAACCCTCGTTTAAGGAATGAAAAACTTCCTGAAGATAAGGAAATATCCATAGTTCCAAAGTCTATCAATACAGGTGAAAACACTCATGATGAGGTGACTGATTAATAAGTCAGTCGACTAACAGTCCTATAGACAATCAGGAACCTTCTACAATAGATCAGACAAATCCAGTTGAAAATGAGCCATTATCAGTTGTTCCAAATGAATGGAAAAGTGAGCCTGGATATCCATATAAGTACATCATTGGAGACCGTCAGGAAGGAATGAAAACTAGAAGATCACTAAATCAGATATCAAATATTGCTATCATATCCTAGTTCGAACCAAAAAAAGTGGATGAGGCACTTAGGGACAAAAGCTGGATAACTGCAATGAAGGAAGAGCTTGATCAATTTGAGAAAAATAAGGTATGGGAACTCATTCATAAACCACCAAATGCATCCATTGTTGGAACAAAATGGGTATAAAGAAATAAGTTGAATGAATCCGGTCAAGTAGTACGAAATAAAGCTAGACTGGTCGCTCAAGGCTATTCACAGCAAGAAGGAATTGATTACGAGAAGAACTTCGCCCCTATTGCCATGTTAGAATCTATTCGCATCCTGTTAGCCTATGCTGCTCATAAATGTTTTAGACTATTTCAGATGGATGTGAAAAGTGCTTTATTAAATGGGTTCATATTTGAGGAGGTATTTAAGCAACCTCCAGGATTTGTTTTGTACTGTTTGGTAAATGGGAAGGCCATCAACTGATTTGCCTGGGTACGTCAGTACATGCTTGAAAGCATCAGGGATGTCTCATCTTCTACAAACAATTTGCCCTATGGTTTACTAATCTCTCACATCTTGAAAGTTATGAAAGTGGATCTATCTCTCTATGCTCCTAAAACCATCTCCAGCACATATGACAAGACTGCCTTTGCCATGATGGGATATATCTTGATTGAGGGAACATGGCTTAAGAAAGACAAAGCACTTGAGTTCATCCCTCATCAGAGCACTGGAGGGATCAAATCTGAAGCCAGCAAATCCTCTTCCTCAGATCAGTTGCAGCTAATGCAGCAAAATATGGCAGGTATCAAGGAGTTACTAACCTCTATGCAGGAACACGTGGACAAGATCAGTGCAGTTACCAAGGAAACTGGAGTAAAAAAATTTCAAACAAGTGAAGTTTTGGGGCGTTTAGAAGGTTGTCTATTAAAAGTAGGGGTTTCTACAGGTGGGTCGGGCGGGGCATCAGTTGGGTTATTAACAGGACTAGTAGGTATATCATCTAAATCCGGTTGGGTTTGATCTACATCATCATTTTCATCATCATTTTCAAAAATAGTTTCATTAGGATAAAGAGCATTCATAACTTCATCATTTAATTGTTGACCTGGTGCAACATTATGGCAAAATTCACTATCGCAAAATTGAAAACAAGGGTTATCACTATCAAGAATAATAGGTGCAGGAGGACGGGTAACAGGTCTAGGTCGGGGAGCCGGGGGAAGGGTAGTAGGTTGGCGACGACTTTTACCAATTTTAGATTTTCCCTTACCACCAAACATTTTTTTCAAAGAAAATTCCATATTAATTAGCCTTAAAAATTAATATGCAAACTAAAACACACAAAAATATATTCTTAAAACATAAGAGTTGGAACGAGTTTACCGAATTGCCGAACAACTTCTTGAAAATTGAAAATCGTTGAAGACTTGAATACTTCAATTCACCAACTTCACAATTTTTCACGAAATTGCAATAATAAAATAAGCAATTATAGAAGAGAATTAGATATAGATTGAGAGAGATTGAGAGAGATTGATAAATTTGTGAGTAAAAATAAAAGAATGAGGGGGTATTTATAGTTGAGAATTTGGAAAAAGTGTAATTATATAAAGTTTGGGGTTAAAATAAAGTTTGGGGGCCAAATGGCTATTTTTAAAGTCCTAAACGGCTCTTTTTTGATGGCCAACGACTAGATTTTAAAATCTGACCGTTGCTCATTTTAAAAAATTTTTCTTTTTTTTTTAAAATTATAGCCGTTGAGGCCCGTTAGGCCCGGTTGAACCGGCCCAGGCCCGCCTGTCGGTACGGGGCTTAGTGTTCTCGGGCTCGTGGGCTAAATGTACAAGACTGGCCCGCTACGGGCTTGGAGTACCATTTGGGACCGGCCCACTGAGACCGGCCCGTTTGGCCCGTTTGGCCCGCGGTCCCGATTCGGTCCCGGGCTGGGCCCGGCCCACAGTGCACCCTTAGGCTAGGCTAAGGATCACTCTCCAAGCCACAATGCGGCAAGGAATCAGGGCTATGCAGGATGTAACTGAGAAGCTGACCAAAGTCACCAAATATATTGATGCCTCTTATGACAGTTTCTGCTCCAAACTAATCAAAACCCTGAAGTATTTCCTTGGAAGGAATTAAATGTCTGAGATGCTTAGACGATCTTTTTATTTTGTGTTTTATGTGATGGATGTTAAAACTGTTTCATTTGGTTGTGTCTAGATGAGTATGTCAGTCGACTATGCTCAGCATAACTGTTAGCTGTATATAATTTTTTCCTTCTTAACTAGTGTTTACCTTAAAAATGGTAATTACAATTAAATTTGATTTTGTGGTTCTAAAAATACATGATCTATTGTTATGCTAGTTGTTTAGGCAATAGATGCTAAGTAAGAGTTTAGAAAATATGATAAGAGCTAGTAGATAGTGTAATGACCAAACTGAAGGTCTGGAGATCGGGATCTCGAGCTGGCGTATGCGGGCCTCGAGGTTGAGCCGGACACTCGGCTAAGGGCAATCGAGGGGGTATTAACAGCTATGGATGCTGTGATTGCGGCTCTTTATGGCAAATAATAAGCAATAAATGAAGAACAATAAATGGACTCAATAAATGTAAGTAATAGATGAAGCAATAAGAGCAAGACAATATGTTAAGTTAGAGAGCAGAGAGAATATTCTTGTATTGAATATTGAGTCTCAGATCCCCTTACAAAGTGACCAGGATCCACCTTATATATCAGGGGGAACCCCAATATAGTACAAATGCATTTATTACAAAGATATAAAATTGATACAGCTAATTAATGCTAGGATACGGGTCTGAACCAGCTTACTAGGTGTTGTCAGTCCTAGTCATGCGCCTTGGGAACTTTCCATTTTTTATTCATAGCTGTCGACCTGTATTGCCTCGAGCCCCTCGGGTGTAATCTCGGCCATAGCCTCGATCCTTTGACTGACGTGCTTAGGAAGCGTCGTAATGGCCGAAAATTGGACCCTCCGATTTTACCGCATGCAGATAGTCCCCGCGTTTCCTAGAGTGAGATGATAGGAAATGGTTTTGAACCTTTGTACTCGCCATGACATCAGCTAGTCAGGGCATTAAATGCCATATTTCAACGGCCACACAAGGGTCGTTGTCAGCACGACTATCGAAGAGCCTACGAACCGCTATTGGCTGTTCCGCTGCTCATACGGCTTCTATAAATACCCCAATTGCTTAGTGATTCACACTTTAATGATTCCTTCAAGCTTTCAGAGCCAAATCCATCTTCCTCTACGCCCCCTTTTTTCTTTACTCTCTGTTTCTCGCCTTCCTTCTCGAGAAAAAAGAAATTTTTTGTTGCCATGGCCAGGACCTCCAAGTAGGGCTGCTTATCGGGCGGATTGGGCGGTTAATTACTCTTAACGGTTTGGCTTAACGGTTATCGGCTTTTAGATTCACTAATCTGTTAGCCACCCGATAAGATATCGGGCGGATTGGTATCGGTTTAGCTCTTATCGGGCGGTTTTCGAGCGGTTTATCGGCCTAGCATACATATTCATAAATTGAAATTACACCAGACATACATATCAACATATTCTTACCTATCCTCTGTTTTTGTTGTCCCTTTGTATATCCAGATCCTTTAGCAGTTTCAGCCACACATCCTTCACTTTACTGGGCTCAAGGTCTTTTAAATCTATTCGAGCACAACCAATGAATTCAGCAGCCTGAATCCCTTCATCATCATAATTGTTAAATGTTGAGTGGATATATATGTCTTCAACTATGAACTCAAAGTGCTCATTCTAGATCGGATTTAAACAGTTATCCTTAACAAAGGAAACAAAATCTGGCGTTATACATTCCTCATCAGGAGATAAATAAATTAAGAAGGACAACAAAAGGATCAGACTTCCCAATGATGTCTTTATTAGTCAACTCTTTGGCTTCGATGAGCTTGACTTGTAATATACCAACTGGCTTTAGCTCCAGGTCACTGCAAGTAACGTAGTCCAAGACAGTAGACAGACAGAGTACCGGAAAGTGGAAACTAAAGTCAAGGGTTTTTGTCTTTTTTTATATTTAATATATATAAATCAAAATAAAATATATATATATATATATATATATATATATATATTCTTAACAGGTTAACGAATTATCCGTTAAGAAAATTAAATAATCTAGCCCCTAAACCGATAAG